ATTGTCTTTTTAAATTCTACAATACCTTTAGAATGTTGTCCTAGATAGATAGATATATTTTTATTTCATGTACAATAAATATACAGGAAACAAGAAAAAAAAAAAAAACAGCACTAGCTCGAGGCCATCAGCTGGTAATGTTGTCCTAAATTTTCAAGCTTATTCGAGTAATAGTTTCGGAGATACAGCCTTGAGAACTTGTGCGCTCGAGGTTAGCTAGGCTAAGTGCGTGGTAATATCCGAAGAAATTGTTCAGATCGGCTCACTATAGCATATAGCTACCATACGAATCGAAAGATCAGAATCAAGGGCTTGTATGGAAACTTGCGCATCTTTACGAAATTTAACATGGATTACTGCTTAAGTTAATAATATAATATCCGAAAAAATTGTTCAGATCGGATTACTATAGCATATAGCTTCCATACAAAATGAACACATAATTACTAAAAGAAATGCATCTGTGAAGGGTATATGTATTAGCTTCCGTGCAGCCGACGTAAACGTTTTTTCTTGTTCTGCAAAATTCCATTTTTTATACAAGAAAAAATTGTTGAGAAAATGCTGTTTTTAACTGAGGAGACAATTATTCGAATTCCTTTTTTACCAACAGTATTAGCAAAAAAAAAATTAAAGCAAAATGTAAACTCTATTCCATTTGTATAGCTTTTTGACATTTTGACATATTATAGTGATGTTATCAAGAAATTTTCAAGAATAAAAAATACAAATTTCTACAATATTTTTAGAATTTTCAATCGTCTTCTAACACTCTAAAGACATTTATAAAAATAAAATTCAGTTATGCAAATAGTTCTTTTGAAAATGACGTCAAAAATGAAAATCTTCGACTACTACCGATTAATACATATATTTCTACATATTTGCGCATATAAAATATTTTCAAAATGACTATAATTATATATATATGTGCATACATATTTCAATCTGTATATATTAAGACTTCAATATCGAAAAAATAGTTTTACCATCTGTCATAACCTATTGGCAGAAAACTGCGCATGTTACCAAAGTTTACCGACAAAAAATATTAAAAATACACATCCAACTTCAATCAAGGTATTAAATCAAAAACTTAAAAATATCAGTCGCACTAATTGTTCTAAAAAACTAAATCTCACCTCTAAAACAACATGCAACGATTCAACTTCATAAATAGCATTTTATATAGTATTAATTATTGCATAGTAACGAACACCTGCTTGTTTCCTGGCATAAATTTAGCTACCTTTACTCATCGAAATCACTTGGCTTTCCGAACAGCGAATCCCTCAAAAGAAATTCTTCCAATGTTATTTCACTAATCATGCGCTCTAATCACGGCTGCCACTAAAACAAATCTTCGCAGCATGTTAACAAGCATAAATTTAATGCAAATATCGCTTTGATCTTGAAGTATGCGAGCAATGCTTTGAAATTGGCTTATTTTCGGCATTAGCTTATTTACTTTAATATGCATACACATACATACCTATTTACTTATGCATTTAGTCAAGTGCTAATGAGGCATATGTCACCAATGAGTCATCAAAGCAAAATTTTAATAAAAATAGGTCAGTGCACAAGTGGACGACGACGAAGATTTTGACGTGCAGTTCTTCAACACTAACTAAATAACTAATTCTTAGTGCATTTGTAACTGACTTGCTGGCACCCTAAGCCATGCACTTGTTTAAAGCTTAAATATAATTATAATTTATGAATTAATTATTTTAATTTTATTTTATTATTAATTATATTATTAGATATTCCTGCATAGTTTAAATAATAATAATATTGCATATAACTAATGTGAAATAATTGTATTGTTAATGCCAAAACAGTATAGTGGATACAGTGTTATGAACTTCATAACATACTATAGCGGAGATAGCAAACCATTTTTTATGTAATAACTGAAATCATTATATAAAAAATTAATTTTAATTAATTAACTTTATTTAATTTGCATGTATATATTAATCTCAATTTTATTTTTATCATTAAATCAATCTACGACGTAGGTCAGGTCAAGCATACTAATTCAACAATGAAAAGGATCAATTCATCTCAAGCCCATCTTATATTTAAGTTAATATATACAAATTTATGTCTAAATAACAAATAAATAGTGGAAAGCCATAAAATTTAAATAAGAACAATCAATTAGTTGAATAATTTTATTTATACGTAGAGTTAGCAATTCATAGGTATGATTTTCTATTGTTAAATAGGCTCTTTCTAGTATTATATTTTAATAAATTTGCGACATAATGCTAATTTTTTAAATTCAATTTTTGAAATTTTGCATTGATTCTTTTCGCCCCAAGAAGCAGCTCATTTGGCGAAAACGGCCTATATCAGACCACTATAACCTGTGACTGCCATACAAACTGAACGCTCAATAACTTCAACTCTTTGTATAGAAAAATCCAGTTATTTTATGGAAAAAATCTTTAATTGACAAGATATCTTCACAAAATTTGGCATGAGGTATTTTCTAAAACAACGGAGCAATTTTCGAACAAATTGTTAAGATCGGACCAATATAGCTATATAGTTGGCATACAAACTACATGACCAAAATCAAGTTCTTCTATGGGAAACTGTGTTATTTGAGAAGATATCTTCACAGAATTTGGCATAAATTATTTTCCAGAAATTTTATTATCTCTATTTCAATTATACCAGAATTTCAGATTAAATAAGTTTATGCCTCAACTCAGCTAGAGACGTCTTTCTTATAGTCAATAACTACGGGATAGTGTCGTTAAAGTCATTTTTGTGCCTTTAATTTGGTTAGTTTTACTTCGATCTGTTGTCTATTATGTCCGCTACACTCTTCACAGCACTTCATATACATATATGGCAAGGATGCTTAGCAGCATTCCTGGGTTAAGCGGTGGAATCTCTCCTATTTTTACGCTTAAGGAACAAAAACCCAGTTTGTGCACATGACACCTTAGAACATAGTGTAACTAGTTAATATTGCCTTATTCAACTATTAAGTCTCTTCAACAAAATCATGCATGGAATGTATAACAGAACGTGTATCACTCGACCAAATGCGGCTAAAAAATTATTTTCATGTATATATGTATATATATAGTATACGTGTATCGCCTGTAAAATGGAAGACGTTCCGTCGGAAGGAAACTGTGGTAATAGTTGACAACGAACCACGTCTATGAAGTCCATCAGCATCAACTAATGTTCAACACGTCAACATAACGGCACAAGTTCATTGGGGCCAAGGGGGATTACTTTGAAGGGGACGTCATAGATTTTAAAGAATAATTTTTAGAATTTTATAATTATGAACAAAGTCTATTAATTTTTGCTTATAGTAGTATATCCGTCGATGCGATTCGAAAATAACTTGAAGTAATTTTTGTTAAAGTTTATTCTGTTTAAATTTATATACATATTTGTAATCTATGTTGCTATATTATTTACTATACAGTTTTTAAATTTTAATGGGTTCTCCTAAGTTCGAGATTTTAAAAAATCTATTTAAATTTTTGTATATTTCTGATACAGGCAGCACGAAAAACGCACGAAAAAGGATTGGATTGAATACATGTTAATTTTTTAGATATCGTGATATATCGGCGCAGCGTTGACTATTTATGTCACTCACGCTGACTAACTTTAAAGTTTCTTAAGTTTTTGCACGATTCTGCAAAATTGTAAAGAAATTTAAAATCTTAAAATTTTTGTAGATTCAGAAAGCTTCAAGCTATGCTTAGGCAATAGGCAATTTATTGTAATCAATGTGTGGCCGCAGTCTGTTAAAATTCGCGTCAAGCGCAGGCACCCTAAACGATGACTACTCCTCTTCGACTCAGCAAGTGAACTCCATCTGGTATCGCAAAGCACCAAACTTGTATATGCTGGCTTATTGACCTATTAAATTAACCTAACCTAAACTAATGTCTATGTTTTAAATCAGAAATGTAATTTGAAACATAAAGCCAACTACAAAATATCTAGTATACTGTTTATTTTAAAACAGTGCAAATTATTTAATTTTTAGAATATAATGGCTGGCTTAGGGATAGCCTTGCGTAGTTCAAGCTTTCCAAAATTTTCCTATCAAATTGGAAAATGATATATATTAATATTAAAATCGCTTAAATTGATGAATGCTGCAACTCAGCTAGAGCCGTCTTTCATATGGTCAATGGCAAATGGCTAGTGTCTTTAAAGTCAAGTTATATGAATGAAAACAATCTAAACAAATTTGCTTAATAAACAGTTATAAACTTTGTCTCAAATTTCACGTGCGGTCGAGAGATCGTTGAAGACATGCCTCGTTCTGGACGACCAGCAACTGATAAAAATATTAAAAAAAAGTGAAAGGCATGGGCAAGTGTTAAAGAGACAACAGGAAAGCTCCGCGAGTCTGTTCGAATTATGTAGGTGAATATTTTGGGTATGAAACGTTTTCTTGCCCGACTAGTCCTGATAGAGCTGATTTTTTTCAAAAAGAGTACGATTGTGACGGAATTCCCATGGATACAAACGATCAGCCACGTTATTTACCAAATTTGTCTCCGTGTGTGTCTGTGTGTGTTTTTTTTTTATTACCAAACTGACTGTCGCTCCATTTAACTCGTTTACAATCGGTCGGAGCTGAAGGCCAACCCAAAGAGTGCTTATGAAAGTGTTTCGAGGACTGAAAAAATCATTGGCATAAGTGCTTTAGATCTGGGGGGATTACTTTAAAGGTGGCAAAATAAATGTTTGAATAATTCAATATTTTGCATTTTATTTCCAATTTCCAATTTCCGAGTACTTTTTTGCAACAATTTATATATTAAAAGGCTTTTGTTACAATTTTATTATTAAATAATTTCACTGAAATCTATCAGTATTTACAATTAGTGTGAAAAAATGAAAAAAAATGTAATTGCAAATCTTTAAACTTGGAATCCAACTAACTGCTTTACTAACTACAAACCACATTCGAAAAAAATAAAGTATCTGCTTTTACTAACCTGTGATGCCGAAGGATAGCCGCCATATCCGAATTGTGCATAAGCTGCCATTTTTTTGTTTTTTTTTTTTACTTTTCAACACTTTCAACTTTTTGGTTTTATTTTTTCAAGTTTGTTATTGCACAATTTTGCTATTGCACGGTAAGTTTTATATTTTACTTCAAAAGAGTAAAGCGCAGAGGTTCTATGATGCACACTTATCTCTTAGTTATAAACCAGTTAATCTGTTCAATATGAAATTATTTCAATACGACACAGTTTTATAGCATTTACTTTTTTTCTAAAGAATCTAAGTTTTTCACTATTTAAAAATATCAATTTTGAAATTCTTCTTTGCATTTGCAGTTTTACTGTTTATTTTATTATTTTTTTATCTTTCAATTATTTTCGTAATTCTCTGTCTTGTTAACACTGATTGTGAGTTGTTTTTGAGAATCCGCCAACAGCGCTCTAACTACACCCGCCTGCTGCCTGCCACATGTAGGTAAGCACACTGTCACCGTCGCTAGCAAGCACTGCCAAAATGTGGCTGCCACAAGTACAAAGCTGCGCATACAGACACGCGCGCAACTGCGTTCGAAATTCCTTCACAGCAAAGCGTCAATAAAACTGATGATGCGACTCTAACGTCAAACGGACATGTAGGACGTCAAAGTCGCCGATAGAACACTAAGCAAAAAGCACTACAGCAAGCACAACGCGGCGGCGGTGACGGCAGCGGCGACTACGACACCACAGTTTGTACGGCAGTGCATTAGCGCACACGAAGCGCACAAAAGAGGACACAAATAAGAATATAGCCGTCAAAATCGGCGCATACGCAAAAACAAGCAATCAACTTTTTCGAAAAGCTTCCTCAATTCTTCGCTTGGCTCACGTGAGCTCACAACACAACATCCGTTTACACTGTGCAACACCACTCACGCTCGAACACGAACTGGTTGGATATGTTGCGCTGGTCGAGCGCCAAAGCTGTTGCCGCCACGCAACCTGCCAAATGAGTCTAACAAGAAACGCGCACTTGTTGTAATTGTTTTTGTTGTAGCTGCATGTACCTTTGCCGCACTGCAAGCAATGTGTGTGGAGCGCCGTTAGTTGGGAAAGCGCCAACATATGCTCCACATTTCGTTGGAGCCCAGCATTGCTTGAGTTGGAGCGAGATAAATAATCACGGCAATTAACTATTCACTCTCGCCGCTCTCGCTGTGCATATTCAACGAACACAGGTGTGCGCTCAGCGCTTTTAGCGAGTTCGTTGAGCACCGCGTGCGACCGCCCATATTTTTTAACAGCAGCACCACCACTTTTACTGCAACCTTTTGACGTAGCGAGTAAGTGCAACGCGTTTGCTACTCGTTAACTCGGACAGCACTCGCTAGCAGCTAGTAGCGCATTGCAAAGCGCACACTGGAAATGTGTCAGCTGCGGCCGCCTCATCCACTCATTTCTGAACTATTAGGCTTCTCGCTCTAACGCATGTGTGTGCATGGTTGCATCTCGCTTCTGAGCCTTCGCTTATTTCTCCACGGCAACAAGTTTCCATTCCAAGCGTTGTTGTTGCGTGCTTTGCTGCTTGATATCTGCTCTGCTGGGGAAATAAAATAATTACATATTTGTTGTTGTTGCAATTTGAAAAAAGCTAGCCAATCACATAGCTTTGCTAATACAGCGTTGTTGTTGCTGCTACAACGCTCAGGTGCGAGTTGTCTTGACGAATGCGGGTAGATAGGGTTGCAGCGAAAAAAATAAATAGAAAAATGTAAGGCAAAACAGCAACAATAGCATGACGTGCGCGCTACAACCATTATTTTTTCCATTTCTCACATGACAACAACAAGACGTGCGCGCACTTTGTTGGTGCTTATCATGTCGCTATTCTTGCTGTTGTTGCACGCCTAGCGCTGTGTTGCTAGGCCATAGCCACACCTCTTTGCTTTGTATTGCTGCGCCTTGGCGTAACTGCTAGCCGTGTCTATTGAGCGCCAGTGTTGTTGGCTTCGTTTATGCTCCAATTGTTGTTGGTGTGTTGCGTTAGTTTTCTTTTCTTGTGTTTTTTTTTTTAGCTTGACGCTGCGTTTGTTTGCCTTTTGTTTTTTGTAAATTCATTTCGACCAACCGTGAAGCGCAAATATTTCCTGCACAACAACTCGGCGTTGCAACAAAACGACGCCAGCGCATTGTTAACACTTTTTCCCCTATTGCTATGAAGTTCCGCTTTTTGTTCTATTTTTGTTGCTGTGCGTTGTAGGCCGGCATTAGCGGAGCTTATTTACCATTTTGCCATGCAATAAAATGGCCTTTCACTCCTTTTCAGGCGCTGGACATTTTCGCCGACCAAATAGCTTCGGTGAAAAATGCATATTCCACAGCTTAAGTGTCCGAGCAAGGTTAAAGAGTTCATTCAGCTCTGGTGCTGGTGTTTGATTTTCCACTTTTAATGTTGCATTTAATTCTTTAGTGCCTACAAATTAGCTTTTAGACAAATCGCGTATTATGAAAGCACAACAAAAGACTTAAGGAGCAAACCTTATTTAGTTGATTCCAGATGAGTTGAATTGAAGTTTAATTCTATGAAAATGTAATTAATGACTGTCTTAGAAAATATTAAATATGGGGCAATAGAGGTTAAATGGATAATATTTGAACTATGTTTTTTAATAATATATATTTATCATATATTTATAATAAATGGGATTTTTCTATGTTTGAACAACTACATTTTTCTTATAAACATAAAAATACCTAAATATCGCATTGAAGATGCAAACAAAGTATTTCTAATGCAAACTAAATTTAATATATGGAGTACATAAGTATATAGGGAAGACATCAAACAAAGGGTGGAAAATCCCAATTTCATTCTGGACTAATGATAATCATCATATATAGTATATGGGATAAATCGATATCGTACATTTTGGACATTAACTATAGAATAATCAAAATTATAATTTCACTTAAATTTGTTTTGACTTCACTTCCACTGGATGTCAGGTAACAAAGCCAACAAAGGCAATGAGACACTGGACGAGATTGCCAATGGTGGTGTACGGTTGACACCCGAAAAGTGATCAACATTGGAAATCCATGACTATCGCTTAGTAGAAAGGCTATCACTCACCATACAAGAATATGAGATTACTTCACAGCCATAGTTAAAGGACCTTGGTTTAATAATTGGCCCAAGACTTAAATTCAAGGAGCACTTGGAAGAACGGCATGTGGGGCAAATAAAATCTATAATGGTTTATCTAGAATGATGGCAAGTAGAGGCTATGTGCGTTCCAGCCGATGATTTTCAAAGTCTAAGGTAATGAGATCAGTTATTCTGCATGCGGCTCCAATATGGATTCAGGCTACACATAAAGTCATTTACTAGACAAGAAGACTAGAATAAACGCAGTGCTTAGGCCTTCTGTAATACATGTGTTAAGTGCTTTTCGAACCACATCAAACGAACGACGTTGCAAGGAACCAAATTCACGGGAATACATATACAACTTATCGAGCCCGTGTACAGCAGCAAAAAGAGAGAAGAGAACCAAAAGCTTCAGAATGTGGCAGCAACGGTGGCAAACTTCATGCAAAGGATAGTGAACTCACAGACTGATGGCGGACACACATTCGAGCACTGGTAGACGACATGGCCTCGATTTTCACCTGATCCAAAACCTCAGGGGCCATGCGTGCTTTAGAAGCTAGCTACAAATATCGTCATGACTTTAGACTCTGAACAGAAAACTACAGTTGTATTTAGTCCCACGGTGAAATATTTCATGTCAGCGTATCGTCAGCTGTAATTATGATAAGGTTGAGACATTTACAACATATTCGTCGTCAGTCAGTCCGTGCATGTGCATCTATGTGGTACAATTTACCTATTGAAACGTTAAGAAAATTTAAACTTTATGAAGATTTTATAAGAAATAATTGATCAAATCTACCGATTTGTTAACTTTCAGGAATTTTCTCAAAACACACTTTATTTAAATTCATCTTCTGTTGGCAGGCCTGGGTATATTTGGCTAATTAATTAAAATTTAAAAAAAACTTATAGACGATAATACCGAAGAGACAAAAAAAAGTCACTAGAAAATAGTTGAGTAGTTGCATATTAATAAACTGGAAGCTAACACTAAGAATGTCTGTATGTGATATTGTGAATGACGAGTGTTTCTTCTTGAATTGTTTATTTGAGCTGCAATAGGGTGTCATGTTGACGTCCACCTTTGTAAATTTGCTTGCTAAGAGCGAAGCAAAGAGAGAAATTGTTCTGTAAAATGTAGTAAAATTATCCCAATACTTCTACGTAACTTTCTACGTTCATCTCATGAGAAAAAAATATATATTGGTGTCCTGCCACTGTAGCTAAAAGCAGCCCAGGTCATAAGAGAGCCACCGCGGAAATTTTGCAAGCGACAAATTCATTCAGAATTTTTCTTTATGTAACATTAAGCGAAAGTTCACTTTGTATTTGCTTATTCCGGATGTTTTTACTGACAGCTAACGGTCTTATGCCTCCCTTTCCTCTTTCGTCAAGCTTATGTTTAGGGCCAGTCCGTTTTTCAAATAGTTTTGATTGGTATTTTTATTGCGCTTTACTTTTAGCGTCATTTTGCGAACTGATACTTCCGACTGACTGTATGCTAGAATGCTAGCGCGCTCCTTAACAGATAACTGCGTGCCTTTTGGCATAGTATCCTATCAGTTATCTTACCAGCAAGCAATTTATTTAATTTATATTTATCAGAACTATCCTTTGAACACTTTAAAAGCGTTTATTTTGTCTAAAAATATCGGCGATTACTAAAATGGGTAACAAAGTGTTCACCTGTGTGCTTGTCCCTTATAAATAATTGCTTTTAGAAACTCGATTTTCAATCAACGCTCAAATGTAACGGGACTTTAAATAAGAGACAAAATATTTTTGGACTACCGCTAGTTCGAGTGGAGATTCATCCATATTATAGCGAAACTCAAGAAAATTAAGCATATGGTTTTTCTTATAAAATCGAAAATTTCTTCTTTTTTATTGGAGTGGACACCGTTTAGACGGTAATAGCCGAGTTTACAACTGCTCCCAGTCGTTCTTCCTTTTCGCTGTTTAGTGCCAATTGGAGAATCCATGTGTAGTCAGCTCCATCTTCACCTGGTCTTTCCAATGGTATTTCCTTTTCCCCTGCTTCCCCCGGCGGATACTGCATCGAATACTTTCCGAGCTGCAGTGTTTTCATCTACCGCAGCCGCTGTATCTTAATTCGCTAAACTACAAGTATGGCAATGTCGTCGTCTAGT